AGGCTATTGTCTTTAATATCCCAATAAAATAAAAAATGAAATATATAAATTATGGCAAGCTCTGAATTCATCTAAAAAAGTTTAATAAAAATGTAGAAGACACATGTGGGATTCTCTCTTTACTGGTAAGTTTTAACAGCTATCTGCATACTCAGATGATAGCTTTGGATTTTTCACAGTTACACAGATATTTTATTCAGTACAATTAATGGAATCCATTAATTTCATGTTTTGTGTTTATGCCATCACTTTGATATAATAAAGTTGTTGAAAACTAAATTTTTAGATGAATCAAGACTGAGTGGTAGTGATTCAGAAATTGAAAATAAGCCAGAGGAAGAAAGAGCAATGATACTCTAGCTTTAGCTCAGAAATGCTTAACAAGATGCTTCTTTACCTCCACCATCCGTCATCATTGTTTTAAAGTTACAAGCAAACATATTTTAACCAGAGTGGGAAGGTTGAGATTTATTCTGTGTGTCCACTAAAAATTTCAACCTGCTCAGGTTAGAATCGAACTGGCATTACTTGAATCAACAATGTATAGTTTACACATTAACACACTTAATCACATTTGTTGTACATAATGGAAAATCTAGTGAAATAGATCCACTTATTTTAACTTAAAAGTAATTGAGATTTTAATTTTAAAAAATAAATAAAACTACCAGTATTGCAAGAATTAAAAGTATTGGAAGAATCTGTGGGGACCTGAAAGTGGTGGCAATTCTTCTAGGCATGCAACAGGGATATATTAAGTACTGTTGCTTCTTATGTGAATGAGACAGTTGGGAAAGAGTATCTCATTACATCAGGAAAGAATGGTCTCAAAGAGAAGTCCTGAACCCTGGACAAAAACATTTTCTCTACAACCCTCTTGTGGGCCCAGAAAAAATCATTTTGCTTCCACTACATATAAAGTTAAAGTTCATGAATTTTTTTTTCAAAGGAACAGACCAATCAGGAGAGGCATTTAAGTACTTGAGAGGAAAATTTCTTCCACAACTCTGTGAGGTTCTTAATGACAGAGAATTTTTTTATATTCTTCAGAGTAAAGAAAGAGCAGCGTGGGAGGCATTTACATCATTAGTTAAAGGTTTCTTGGGCAACAAAAGAGAGGAAAATTATGCTGTCTTAGTCCAAACCCTCCTTGAGAAGTATAGAGATCTGGGTTGTAACATATCACTCAAGATTCACTTTCTTCATTCTCATTTGGACTTCTTTCCTGAAAATTGTGGATCTGTAAGTCACGAACATGGTGAGCAATTTCGCCAAGATATATACTTGATGGAACAAAGATATCAAGGTCAGTGGGATACTTCAATGCTCACAGACTACTCTTGGAACGTTGTGAGGGATTTGCCAGAACATCAGTACAATCATCAAGCAAAGTACAATACTAGGTATATGTATCTATAGAACGGTAGCTAATATAACAATTCTGATAGAAAGTTTGAGTACCTCACACCAAAATTAGTCAAGAGAAACAGTTTTCATTGAAGATCCACGCAAAAAAATTTTTTTTGTAGGACATGTAATAAAAGATGTAATGAAGCCAGAGAAAGATGAGCTTCTTAGCACAGTAAAGAGTCCATATAGATAAGCTGTAGGTGCTTGTACAGGTGACAGGAGGCACAGGTGAGGCCTGACATCACATGCTGTAGGAGTAGTATCCAGAACTATAGAGAATCTTAAAAGAAAAAGAACTACCTCAGGACAAGTGTGCATATAAACAAGAGGTGCCATTTCGTGGCTGAGTCAGTGACAGACATCTGTAGAAATATTGACAACAGAGGCTGAAGTAGTCACAGCTAGTGAAGTAGCACAAGAACCAATATAGATCAAAAGATTGCTGTCTAGGATCACAGAATTAAAGACCATTCCTGTTTTTAATATTGACAACAAAGCAGCAACTTGACTAGCGCAGAACCCGGAGTACCATAGCTGGACGAAACACATTAAAACACGACTTATTTTCATAAGAGAGCTGGTCACCAGTGGTAAGCTGGATGTTGAAAGAATTTCTACAGAGCACCAACTGACAAATCTCGCTAAGCCTTTGCACAAGCTCAGACTCTGCGGTCTACAGAAGGGCATCAGACTTGTGGGGGCAGCGGGCATTCAAATGTGAATAGCCAAGTCTGCACAACCTAATCCATAGGCACTGTAGCCTTATTAATTAATTAATTTTAAAATGTAAAAATTATGAAATCCATGAGGATAAATATGTGTGTAAATTAAATGCCGAATATCAGTAATTCTATATTGAGAAATATAATAAATGAATTAATTAAAATAATCTCTTAATAAAAATAATAATAAAATAATGAGAAAAACAAAATTTACTTTAAATCATTAAACATAAGGAAATCTTAAAATTAAATTTAAAATAATATGTGTTTTAATTAATTACAAAGGTTTAACAAAATTAAATGAATGTAATTTAATTGATAAATTAATTTACTGTTATTGAACTACCAGTTCAAAAGATTTTTTATATATGTGTATACACTTAAAATTATATGACAGGAAAAAAAAGGAATATGGATGGAACCCGTATTGAACTGGGGAACCTTCACCATATCAGAAATGTATGCTAGTCACTTCACTAAGAGTGCTTATAAAAGTTGGCATGAAGTCCTGTACAAGTGCATGTGCAACCTCAATGTGAGGAAAATTAATGTTTTTTGTAGCACTTATTAAAACTAAAGACCGGTGGGGTTCATAAAATGACTTCTAAAGGGGCCCCATTCACCTTAAACTGTTTTTAATTGAATTAAACAAAATAATATGCCGGTCATATTATGTGTTTTAACATCACTGGTGCAATTGACAGGAGTCCTCGTGAAGGATGATAATGTAAGTCGCCGTCATAACCTGGTGAGATGAAACCATAGCTTTGCCAGGAGGAATGGTGACGGGACAGAGAATCTCATGAAGATAGTTCTTAACTCAACGCAACCAGCGCCATACTGGACTTGTAATGTTTTCTTTTTGCTCGCTGGCATTATGTGACACGAGAGGCGATCTGTGCCGGAAGTGGCCGAAAACATGGTTGCTGGGATGTCTCGGATAGTACAAAATATTTAATTATGTGTAATCACATATAAATAAACAGGTTTACCATATCATGATATGGAAACAAAAATTAAATAAAATAAATAATACATGTCGTTTATAACCCCATATTAATAATATGTCACTATGGTGACAAGAAATAAATAAAATTATTCATGTTGGCCACAACAGGGCTAAAAGGCGATTGAATAAAAATCAGGAAAAGTGTTAAGGTTAATTTTAATGTTTTATTACTTTTTTCTGTAATAAAAAGACATATGTTTTTTTAATAAACTTAATATTAATAAACATATGTTTAAACTTATTACAAAAGTTCAAATGATATGTATAACCTTGTTTGAAGTGTTTGGGACTTTATTTTATTCATAAATTTTCAATTATGCGAACTTTGATAAGCATTTCTCAACAATCATTTATTATACAAAATAAAATTAACAAAAATAATATAAAACTCATATCCTGGTGAAATAGTCACATAACTGCTGAAAACCGCATATTCTCTGGCCGTTCCCTATCTTGTCGTGCATTCTTTCCGAAAATTAGGATTTTATTATTTTGAGGAAGGATGCGGAACAAATTCTTAAAAATTGGTACTGTCCCACCAAATGCGGGACATCTGGTCACCTTAGGTTAGGGCCTTCTCAGAAAATTTGGTCACCTCCGACTACTTTCAGCCATTCTCAGAAATCTGTTTATGGTGTGATCATGAGATCTTCTGGCTACACATTAAAGTGGAATAAAATATAACTGTGTCTTATGAAAAAAATTATCTCTAAAAGTATTATTGTTCGTGTAATTACATTTATAGGACTTCAAGTATCACTTCCACCATTTCATATAGGTAGTTACTTTCTTTCTTTTTCTTCCAGAGTAATTATCGTTTTATATATATGCAATCGTAATATATAAGTATATATACATATAAAATTTGGTCCCTCCACCCAAAATTAAATCCTGGATCTGCTAGTGATTAGCACAAATCAAATTAACATAGAAAATTGTTACATAGGGCTTTTAGCAATATGTATAAGTTCGATTAAGGTTACGTGATGTAACCTAAATGTCTAATATAATTCTGTGAGTGAGTCGAACCCTTGTTAAAGAGTATATAATACTTTAATGGTGAGAAAGTTATTAGTAAGTACCTTACTCAAAGATCGGATGCCTTCATTCTCTTACGGATAAACCTCAAAGCATTCGGCACTCAATGAACAAATGTGACCTAAATGATTGAAACCACGTGTAATCTGTGCAAAAGTTATGTGAACTAGTACCTTTTCCTTAATAGTATTTCTATATTCTTGTGCCTGAGTAAACTTAAATAAGCGATAAATTAGAAATTTCTTTACTTTTTTTGATAATAAGCAACATAGCCATTTTTACTGCTCATTTTCCCAATCATCCTAGGGGTACACTGAATTGAAAGTGGGAAGATTGTATAAAGGCTAATCAGACAGGGTTGGGTTTGGATATTGGTCATTGGGCGGAATTCGGATGATAGCGACTGGTGGTGTTGACATTGAACCTTTTATACTTTACTATGATTTTCCTAATATTTTTTAATATTATTTGTATTTACGGAAAATAGAGAATGAAAATTTTAGTGAAAAATGACAGCATTTCAATAATTAACTGGTGTGCTACAGGAACAGAAAATTATGACTCCACTAAAGCATACAAACAGTAACAGCAAATACACAACCAAATGACCAGCACTTGCCTTCATGAGTAATGAGTATTAACATCTACCACAACACCTAAATGTGACAACATACAATAATAAAGATTTAGGATCATTTACAACAATGAGTCAGAATAATTACTATTTATAAACCATTAATTGAAATAATCTTAGAATTACAAGTTTTGGAATTCAAAAATAACAGCCCTAGTTAGGAAGTAGTAACAGAACTTCAACTTACATGACTTGATTTACATTCATTGTTTATTCCTCGTTGCAGTAGTTGAAATCAATGAAATTTAAAAAAAAAAATTATTTGAAGATTATGAAAAACAAGATCTGCTGAATATAGGGAAGAAACAATAACTAATAATAGAATAACTGTTATATAGAAAAAGTCAATTTTACAGGCTTTCAAAACATCATTAAAGTTCTGAAGAAAGAATAGCACTGAACATACACCAATAATCCACAAGTTATTTTACATTTTCAAAGCTACCGGATGTTTATTACCAATGCTTGTTTACATTTACATACAGGTTATGGTGAGGTTAGGCTAAGGTTACTGCAATAATATCGATATTGATATTTTCCTTTCGATATCTCCCAATATCATATCGAAACAAAAGATTCGATATTGTTTTAACATCGAAAGAAAACTAGTTCACAAGAGTTATATGCGTTATATGCAATATATGAGTTATATGCGTTATATGAGTTATATGCAAGACTAAATCAAGTTATATGCGGAATCACAGGCGGATCTACGTGAGGGGGAGAGGACATCAGCCCGAAAGCCCCTCTCTCTAAAAAATGTTTTTAGTATTAAAAAAAAAAGTAAAAAGTACAGGTTTTCTATAACTAAAATTGATTTATACCTTTTTTTTTCTGTTCTTCCCTACCTCGTCTTTTTGGCTATAGGGGCGTGAGGGCAGGGAATTTAAAATAATTTATTTATCCCTAATAATAAGTAAATAATGCGTAGGAATAAGTACCTTTCTTACAAAAACTGGCTGAAAATGAACATAAAATCCTTCCCCCCTCTCCCACATAAAATAAAGATAACCAAAAACAATTGGCAGAAGCAGTTGAGGCTCTTTTCCCCATCGATCTTTAGCCACGCCTTTTTAGGATTTTGAATTTTTGAGGGGGCACGTTTTAATTGGGTCATGAATTTTTTGGTATAGACGGTGGGCCAGACCCCCCTACCGATCACCCCTCCCCCCACTACATCCCTATAAATTTCATATCGTTGTGTTTCTTGTAACTATTTATTTAAAAAAAAAGAAAATGTTCCCTCCAAAAAAGTGAACGAACTGCCCCAAAATGGCGTCCAAACACGGCCGACTGACGACTTTGTCTTTAGTTAGTTTTTTGGTCACTGAGAATCAGCAATTGGCTTAATTTCGTCATAGTTGGTATTTCCTTAAAGCTGGATATTCAGAGAATAATGAAACAGGAAAAAATATTTTAAAATAATTGGCTTAGGCAATAAAAAACACCAGTAAAGTCAATTTTTTTAACAAAAAAATTTTCAAGTTGAATATCAAGCGTTGTTTGTAATTAAACATCCAACAATAACGACAAAAGTGCAATAATAAAGCCCCTGGAGAATATATTTTTCTTTCTAAAACACTAATTTCTTTTTAAAATATTTGAAGCAGTTTCGTAGAAAATGCACTTAAGCGGCAGAAATGCAGTACTGGTGTGGGTACCTACAGGCCTCTACCACACCATTCAGTGCTCATAAGTGGCTTAGTGATGGTGATATAATAACGTTTTGGTACATTATATTGATTGCATTAACAAACAAATATTAATGTAATAATTTAATTATCCACGAAAGGAGGAGAAAAGCCACTTTCACACACTATACAGGTGTGGCACAAGGAACCGTCACGAAGTACTGAAAACCAATCCTAATAAACAGTTAAATATTTTCTTCAGTTTATCCTCATACTCAAGCATAATCGAGAGGCTGCCACATACCTCACAGCCGATGTCAAAGTGTGGGAAATCAATGCGGAAAGGAGGAGCTTGCGGATAGTTTGTGGAAGGTGATGACGGTAAAGGTGGAATAATTTAAGAGTACCAATAGTATTTCTGGAGATATGGGCTATATGAGGTTTCCAAAAACGGTTTTTGTCAATGAGAATTCCTAATTATTACTACTAGTCATTAATAATTAAATAAGGAAGGGTGGTAATGGATCTAAGGAGGGAGTTAGAACCTATATGAATGGCCTGAGTTTTCCATGCTTTTAACTTTAACTTTAACTTAATTTATTCAAGCTTGCCAAGTACTAATCTGTCTGAATATTAGCAAATGCTGGTACCAAGGCGGTTGGTGGAAAGGATAAATAAATTTGAGAGTCATCAGCTTAAAGGTGGTGTGAGCAATGGAGGATTGAACTAGGAAGATCATTGATATAGCAATGCTCGAACGTTGGACTACTCCAGAGGACAAAGTGAGGAAAGAAGATAAGGGTTGATTTGGAATAGTAACTGCTTGAGTCCGATGGGAAAGAAAAGATTGGAACTAAAGGATAGCGCTACTGGAGAATGATAGCCACTATTTTAATTTAGTGAAGAGGGACGTCTAAGGAATCGAATGCTTTGTAGAAGTTCAGGAGTACTATTACAGTTAGCTTTTTTTCGTCCATTCTTATGTATGTCATTTGTAATTTTAACTAAAGCAGATTGAGTGGAGAAGCCCGGGCGGAAACCAGATTAGAGAGGATCAAGAAGTTTGAACTCTTCGAGGTAATTGGATATTTGGGATTGGACTATTCTTTCTAAAGGTTTTGAAAGGTTAGAGAGGACGGATATTTGGCGGTAATCTTTAGGAGAGGCAGGGTTGTGGATTTTGTTAATAGGACGGACTAAGGCTTTTTCCACGAGGTAGCAAAAACAGAATTTTGAAGGAAAAAGTATATAAATTAATAGAAGGAAGCTTATATAGACTAGTAGCTACCGACTATTTCATTTAGCGGATGGGCTTAAAAGCTAGTAACCATTTTAAATTCTAGATAAATCTCATCTGAACACACAACTTCGGTCAGTCGGTTGAAAGCCGTTGCTTTCTATGCGAAAATGTAAATTAAAAATGCGAAATTTGACGGTTCATTTAACGGAAGAACATACGCCCGAAATATTGATATGATGTCAAGGATATGTCCCTATAAAATAATTCATCCTGACTAACGATTTTCTCAGTTGCGTTTTGAAAACTGACTTGTCAAAGTCATCAAATTAGGCCAGATTTTGATGTTCCCGAACGAAATTTTCCATTGCATTCCGAGATACATGCAAAAATAAGCGAAATTTCCGAACTTTTTTTTTGTTTTTCGGACATGACTCCGAAACTATGCATATTACCGAAATTATTATCATGTAGAAAGTTAAAGTAGATATAATTTAATATAAATTCTATACGTAGCTTTTTGATGTAGGCCCAAAGGGTGGGGAGTTAAAGAATGTTGACTGTTTCTTATTTCACAAGAAATATCTGTTTTCGTCGGTTTTCCCCAAAAACTCATAATGTATGCATCTCTCGAAGAAATTTATCATAATCAGTTTGAGAGAGCATTATATTTTCTATGTAGCTCATGTAGCCACGTTAATATGTGAGAAGGTTAAGCGGCTATTAAAGCGTATGGAATCGAAGGCCCATTTTTATCGTAGTATCTGCGGCTCTCTACTTAAGTACTTTTTATCTTTTCAATGCTTTTGATTTGGCTAATTTGTAACTTGATAATATTTATAACTTGACTAGAATGTATAAACAAATTAAATAGCTTTTATATATTCTTTTGGCATGAATATAGGCCTTGCCCGGTACACTAGGTTTCAGTGGTGAATTTAATATTTTACGAGTGCTTTCTTTTCTAGGTCCTGTTTTTTGGCTATATTATATTAGCTACAAATTGTATTGATAATAAGTCATAAACTACATTATAAAAATAATAAAATATGTACAAGGAATAAATAACAACAATAACCAATAAATAAAAAATTGTATTCGTGGCCGTTTGTTTACATAACACAGTACATACCTGGACATTTATTTTATTTTAAATAGGCAACAGAGATAATAGCAACACGTAACAAATTTCTTTGATGTCACGCTGCCCAATGTTATCCTACATCCCGCCGAAATGTTGCTTCTTGAGATTACACATGCAAATAATATTGATATCAACATGTTTCCAGCATTTTGTAAACAGGTTTGTGTTTATCATTAGCTTTGATGAAGGCCTCCAACTGAGGCTGAAATGTCGGCAAACATTATCAACAGTAATAATATTCTTATTAAACTCAACGTCTATTTCATCACTCCCAACCAAATTTTCCTTGATTATATATACAATACTTTTGATTGATATTATCATCTTTGTATGGTTTAAAGAATGTCGTGCCGTGTGAAGTTATTAATCAGGTAGGTATATTAACAAAATATAGTTCTTAAATGGTGATTTGGAGATAAGACATAAAATGACTTTTTATATAAGTTTCATCGATTTATTATTTACAAACGACATCGATTAACTATTTAAAAAAAAAAAACATTATACATATTAGGCATCTGTCGTTTGGCATATGTAACAAATGCTTTTTACAATGATCAATGTAAATTTAATTACAATAAATGAAAAAATATTTACAATGATTTATTTTCTTAATCTTACATTTAATAACTAGTATCAGATGCTCGCCTCATAAGTTTGTTGTCTAGAACAGCCAATTGTTCAAGAAACCCATCGTTAGGATGTATATGTCTTTTTTTTCTGATACAAGCCATCGCATCACATGCAGACATATTACGTTTCAGTACCAAGTAAGCTAAGGTAAAGATGGCTGATCTTGATATCCCCATGTAGCAGTGTACCAGAACTTTACCTAAAGTCACAAAATTTTACATTATTTGTATATAAATATAATATAATAATATATAATTTATATATATATATATATATATATATATATATATATATATATATATATATATATATATATATATATATATATATATATATATAGGGAAGTGAATAGGAATCCTGCTTTATCAAATATATTGAATATCTCCGAATGATGAAAAAGATTGATTTTCGGTTCATTTTTGAAACAAAACTAGACAAAGAGGTGAATAATTTTAGTAGTTCCATAATTACTTTTTTTAAGTTATTGGATACAGAAGAGTATAGCCGTAGATTTTGTTTGGGGTCGAGAACGATAAACCACAAAAAAAAAAAAAAAAAAAAAAAAAGCGCCAGGAATTTATTTTGTATATATGTAACAAAAAGTTTCTTTTAAAACGTGATACAAAGCGAGAAACGATTAAATTCTAAGAAAAGATTCTAGAGTGACTCAGTTAAAATAAAGATCTATATACGTATCACGTGGGAGAGGGCCCGTACCCAGGGGTGCCCAGAAGGGGGTTTCATGCCGCAAGTTGCGCCACCAAAATTTTTGAGGGGGGCACATTTTGACGGTGTTTTGAATTGTTGAGAGGAGCACATTTCGACGGGGTTCTGATATTGCTAAATGAAAAGTTTAAAATTAAAAGACGAGTGGAATTGGGAAGCATGGGGCAGACTGCAAGATATATAATTGTATATAATCTACAAATTTTTTAAATTCTACTTTTGTTTGCACTGTTTTTGAGAAGAGAAAGGCAATGATAATATATATTGGGAACGGTGGAGGATGGGCCATCGACGTTGGGGGTATAGGCACCCCTACCTGTACCTGAGACTTGGAATACGGACATAATCTGTCATATCCTAAAGACGGGCTCCATGTAAGACTGTGGTAATTACAGAGGCATTGCTCTCAATCTGGTTTCCTGTATCCTGTTAAACCGGATGCATCAGTATTTTAAAAAATATAATAGGCTACGACAAAGCAAGATTTAGAAGGGGAAGGAGCACAGTAGACCAGTATTCATCCATAAACATATGAAAGTAGCTCAGCATGTACACGCCTAATTTGTCGATTGCATGCCAGCCTGTGATTCCATGAAGAGAAACTCTCTTTGGAAGATCATAACTGAGGTGGGAGTTCTCGAAATATTGGTGATATAAACGAAGATCTGCATAAGTAATCCTATATGACGAGTTCTCATATAAGAAGTACCTGAAGCCATGAATAGGTTTGAAACAGGAAGTGAACTCTCGCAGATGCTATTCAACTTAATCCTGTAGAAGGGGATGAGAACATTACGTGAAAATAGAGATGTGCACAAGGGAATAAACCATAAAGCATGATAGAGCTGTTCTTCAGAATTCCTCAGAAGCCATCGTGAAGATATTGAAAGTCTCGCTATGAATCCCCTAAATCTTTATTATTCTATCAGGTCATCAGTTTGCAACTATTTGTATAATAATCATACTGTACTAATATCCAAATGCCATTCTATTGAGTTTGACTACTATGTTAAGGATTGGTTTAGGAATGTAATGAATAAATTGGAAAATAAACTAAAAGTAAAGAAGAATCGCTTTGAACACAAAATTTACAATTATCAACATAATTTTTATCTAAAAGTAATTAACAAAACTGATCTTCAGTTTAATGATAAAGAAATGAACTTATAAGGTAAAGGTTTGAAATTTCGTCATTTAGTAAAGACTAGTTACATGAGCCAGCGGTGGACATTGAATGTGCGCAGCTATTACATAAAAATAAAGCATTGTGTACTGAGGCTATTAAGAGGATGTATGCAAATACGGATACAAAACCCACTATCCAGTGCTGGCTTTATACCTTTGGCGCCCTTCGGCAATGACGCATTCTTCCCCTTCCCATAAAAAAATTAACTTTATTTCTTAAACTGTTTTATATTATGTAATATTTCAGTTTTATTTCTCTAATAGAGCTATTTTTTTTATTTTTAACAAGTAGCAATCGCCTCTTAAGATCGGCCGGCTCCCCCAACGGGCGCTCCTCCAGGTCGGCGCCCCCGGGCAATTGACGCGGTTGCCTCGCCCTAAGGCCAGCACTGCCACTAGCTATGGGCATACTATAAGGAGCATAAACAAAAAGCTTGAAAAAGAAAACAGCACAATTCTTAAAGCAGATAAGGGTAATTCGGTGGTTATAATGAACAGAGATGACTACTTAAAAAATGCTAAGATTTCATTGACAACTCAGGTGGAAAAAATATGAAAAAGGACCCATCCGAAAAAATAAAAACTCTTTTGAAAAACGCCATTAAAGAGTGTGATAATTTTTTCAACGACGATTTTAAGAAAAAATCTATAATGGTTATGAATCCTAGCATACCATTCCTCTATGACCTACCAAAAATCCATAAAGACGGCTGTCTCATCCGACCAATTACATCTACCTGCCCCTACATAGCCCCTGCTTATAATTATTAAAAAAAGTAGATTAAAAAATTACAAACTTTTAGCTTGCTCTGTTTTTAAAAAAGTTGAGCAATAAAATATCTTGGGAGGAGGGAAGGGGAGAAGGTTCCTGCGCCATTGATCTTAGGGGGGGGGGTAGGCACCCCTGACTGGTCTGAATGTTGTCAAAGACTACTTCACGTATTTGGCTCCTCTCCCGACTACCGTTGCATCAGGTTGGTTCGCTACACCCCGAGAACGAACTAAAAAAACATCTATCCATCCTGTCCAAAGTTTTCGATCATCTAACCGACTTCCCGCTTAAATGTGTCCTAGCAGACTAAATAGATTTAATAGCTTAAGCGTGTATGATGTATTAAAACCTCTTCTGTCATGTGTTTGTGAGGCAGCCTCTGAAAATTACAGGAAAAACAAAAGCGGACTGGGATGCCAACTTTAAAGAACATAAGATAACGAAATATTCCATATTACTATTATTACCATATTATTCCATTAGCTAACATTAAGAACGAAAATTGATGAACTAGCAATACCAAATTAGAGCTGATCAAAGAAATATTTATGTAGTTATTAAAAGAATAGAATATTTTAAGTGACAGATTATAATTTTAAAAACTGTTTCTGAACAGAAAGTGATGAAACCTTTATTCTTCAATGCTTCGTCAATAAAATTAGCAACATCCTCAAAGTGTTTCAGGACATTGGTTACTGAAAGATCCATCAAACGTAAGCCCATGTATTTTATACCCAACTTCTTGTAATAATCTTCGTCAGTGTTCACCATACCGATGCCACTACCTTCTGCCGTGTTCACAACATGTGTTATTCCGCTCATTCGCAAAAATGGTTTGCTCATTGCCGCATTTCTGAAACAAGAGATATTTCCAGATAAAAGTCAATTACAATATCCAATCGTTCTTAAAATACTTGAGATGGAGGAGGGAGGAGGAGAATAAAGGAAAAATTAATCTTCTTTAATATTTAAAAAGGAAATTCGATTCAACTACTTAAATTAAGTGGCTATGGATCTAATTGGAGAGTACATAGACTAGGAGCCAATCACACAATTATTCAACGGAAGAACGTAAAGCTACTTGTAAGCAAGTTAAGCCCTAAATAAAAAAAAACTTACAATTCAAGTGCATTTTTAAACTGCCGCGCTCAAATGCGTAAAATGTTTGAATTCCATTCATCTGACCGGTAAACGGCTGGAACTTTTTTCTAAAATATTCAGCATTGAAAGGTGAGCAAAAATTAATCTTTTGAGACAATTCAGGAAGGTGCTTGTACAAAACTAATGTAAAAAAGTTATTTTGTAAGAATCTTTAGCACAATTTGAATATCTTGTTAGATACTAGATCATAACTGACTTACAATAACAAGTAAAATCAATATCGTAAGGTGACCTAGGAAGGTGCGTTTCCGAAATCGACTCAAAAAAAATCACTTGAATTGCAAGTCAGTTCTTATCCTTCATTTATCCAGATATTTAAATCTTATCAGGTAAATGTATTTCCATATGATTCTAATAAGTTTAAACGATTAGTCTTTAAAAACTTTTATTATGATATTTACAACTGTATTAGTATGAATACATCTAGTAAATTTGTACAGAGAAATATTATTACATGAAACACGCTTGTTGAGAAACTACCCACTGGTAGCACTCTAATAATTTGTCTACATGAGAAGATCACGAGGCCATCTTCTTTTCAGACGCCTCGGAGGGTTATCAGGAATCGAAGAGGAAGCAAGGTTAGAAACAAGAGGATTCGGATGGTTATGAAGTTTATTATGGAAGGATAGGTATCTGGATTTGGCCAAATCGGAAACATATGGAACATTGAGGTCTTTATGGATTATTTTATTAGTGACAAAGTAAGGAGCATTGAGGCAAAACGATTAAATCGCATTTTATATAAAATGGAATCAATCTAAATTAGTTTTTAGCACGGCAGTTTCGAAAACGCAAATCCAATTGCAAGTCGGTTTTTGTCCAACTAGATACAATGATCTTGTATAATTTTAAATAATTGTATTTTTAAGTATTCCCAATAAGTTTAAATCTATTCAATCACGTATCAAATACAGTTAAGTGTACTGAATATTTTTTAAACAAGTCCCAGCCGTTAACCCGTCGGTTGAATAGAAATAAACAATTTGACGTGTTTGAGAGCGTCAGATTTGAAAATACACCGAATTACGTAAATTTCCGCTGTGGCTTATAACTTTAATGCGTGAAGTACAACATTGGTGAAATTTGCAGGTGTTTATTTTTCGGGTGAATGGAACCACAAAATTTGACCTATTTGAGTCCAAATTCACACAAAATGCACCCGGTCTGGACAGAAACACATGACGACCCTAGCTATATTCGATAAAGACAATCATTTCTGGCCATCGATAGCTTTACTTTCTTCCGTTGAGTAGATGCTTCATTGGCTCCCAGTCTATATACTTTCCTATCAGATTTATAGCCACTTCCAAGGAATCCTATTCTAAGCTCGTCTTGAATAATTGTTTCATTGGCTCCAAGACCAATAATATTATTCGATTAAATTATGAAATTAAGACTATGGCAGCCGTTCCACACCAACTAAGGACTATGAAATTTTATCTAAAATGTTAAGTTTAAATTCAACATTGTATGTGCAACATATCAATGCCAAATTACAATAAAATAGCCAGAGAAAGAACATGATATTTAACAAATAAATGGTAAAATCTATGTTTCAAAATTAAAAAATATATGATAAAGCCTGTGTTTCATAATTAAAAATTGAATATTGATTGGAAAATAATCCGTTGCATAAAATGAGTTGTAGTAATTCACAAACTAAAGAAATCATAATTTTAGCCGATTTAATAACAATGTGAAGTTCAATACGTATGGTTTGGGGTTTATAAGGGATGAAAGAAATAAAACAATTTTTCGTTATATAACCTTAAGTAAAACGACCTTTCTATTCTAATCTAAAGAAAAAATAATTGAGTTCGCAACAATATACTCAGCCATACCTGATTCATTTTATTTATTTTTTTAACTTAATTATTACAAAATTGTTGTAAAAAAACAGTTAATTCACCATATCGCGACTGTTAGTGCAAAAGGTCATATTGAGTTTTTTTCACAAAAGAACTTAAAAACCTATTATTTCTTTATGATTTATTAGTATAATTTCATATTTAATTTTCCTACACCATTTTCCATAGTAGCAGACTATTTATCACAGCTGCAGATTACAAAATGCCATCTTTAACACAAATAAAATTAACATAGAAAATTATTACACACTTTTGCACAAACAGTAGCGATATAATTAATAAAATATGACAATAACTAGTGAAGAAATTAATCCATAGATATTCCATAAAAAAAATGTTGGTTTCTATGTCTTGCGAAAAAACAGAATGTGATGAATCACGACCATTAAGAGTAATTTTCTAGGTAACATAATGAGGATCATTTAAGGTTTACATAAGATTTGCACTGAGAATGTCGTCAATGTCTCATGATTGAAGGTTAAGATAGGCGCGACATGTAGCTCGGAGCAGTCCGTCAGGAAGTCAGGAAGAAACAATAATCAATGCCTCATTATTACAAGAGAGACCACGTGGAAGGCCCAAAAAACAGATGGATAGATTGAATCAAGTTGCTTAATTAAAAAGCAATAGCCGAAAATAGGGAGAGATGAAGAAGATTGGTTACGGAGGCAAAAGATATACAATGTCTGTGGAGCAAACAGAAAAAAAAAAATGTAATGAGGGTGAAATTAGTGGTTGCCCAAAACGCAACTCCGTGTATACATAAGAACCTTTCTTGATTTATAGATAGTTTAGAGTTTCTAATAAATTGAATAAATCTAAAAATTAAAGGATAACAAGTTTTTGTCACGTTTCCAAGATAGAAGCTGCATGAGCTGAATTTCTAAATAGAAGATCTGTTCAATAAGAATGAACGAAATAATATTTATTGATTTTGTATGACAGTTTAACATAAATTTAATTTTTGCCACTGAAAAGAAATGAAATAAATCAAAATTAATTTCTTAATTATTCCTGTTTTGTTTCTTCTGAATCACAACATAAATTTCGAATTTAAACTACCTATACAAGTATAGTAAATCCCGCTATCGACTTTTGTGCAGTTAGTAATTTATTGATACGTTTCAATACTTAATTTCCGTTGTCAGCACCAATTAGAACACTGTCTTCTGATTAATGAATTATTAATGAGTGCATCGTAACAAATCGATTTCACAATTAGGCTCCTTCAATTCATAGGACTAACATAAAATAAACCAGATTGAGTCTAAAAGATTTTGGAATCACCATCTCAATTTCCACATTTATGATTTTTAATTTAATATCACAACATAAATTGGTCTGATTCATCCCATTTTTTCGAATCATATGTTTCTTTCATAATTTCCATACAAACAATGTTTTTTTTTCCTTTGTTATTCTTTAATTCCAATTTTATAACATTCAACAAAAACAATATCACAGTTTCCTTTAACGATAATTTATGAACAATTCATTCATGGGTAACTTATGATTTTTAAAAAAACATAACTTAATAGAGTTTATCAGTTTTAATGCCTCATACAAATTTTCTAGTTTAGTGTATAGGTATATTTGTACTCACACCTAGTCATAAAAAGCTTATGAAAAATTCCGAAAAAAAATTTTATTGAATAGATGTTAATTAATTTAACAATAGAAACATTTTCTCACATTTAGAGTGGCTTCCATAGATTCACAGGTTTTTTTTTTTCGTGGTGAAATGATCCTTGAAATACTTACTTGTGTTTTTCCTCACCCTCATGTAAAACGTTTCTTACATTCCTTATTGTTTTTTTTATAATATGGCTTGTTCTTCCTTTGTTGGTAACCCCCAACATGACGGGGAATACCACGAAAGTCACTGAACGCCATCAACAAACTCTATTAATGTGTAAAGATCCACATCTTGAAAACGGGCGAGTATTGAACATAGGCGCTGACTGCAAATTAATATTTTAAAATAAGAAGCTCACAAACCATAATTAAAGAAAGAAACATTTGAAGCGATAGTTACTGAAGGAAATTTTTATTTTGTTTACTATCAAACATTTTTAATTCCTAGAACCAGGGGTACTTAGAAGGGTTTTTCATGGCGCAAGTTGTGCCATTCAAATTTTTGAAGGAGGCACATTTTGCCGGGGTTTTGAATTTTTGAGGGAAGCTACATTTGGACGGGATTATGATTTTTCGGAACGAAAAGTTTCAAACAAAAAGATAAGACTATCATGAAACAATGTACAGGAAGTGTAATAGTATACAGGGTGTCCAGTAAGTAAGACAAATTTTTATAGGAGTGATAGCAGATCTCAAGAACTACAAAAAAATTTACATAAACAATGGACCTATTTTCAGCAGAAAAGAAGGAAATTCAAGTTTGATGTTTTTTAAGTGAGTCACGTTTTTTGTTGAATACGAAGCGATAACTAAAGAAGTATTTAATTCAAGTAATTATCAATTACTTCACTTTAAACTAGATAAAATTTACTTCAAATAAAAATAGAATATGTCCCTGTTCAAATCATTTAAAGAGGATGTTTGAGGGACAATAACAAGGTAAGCTCTGTTTAAAAAAAAAATCTTAAATCATTCGCGATTTTTTTTTTTTTTTATCATCATCTGACACCACTACAGATACATCACTTTTAGGAAAACTTCTTCGTTTAATGAGCTCTGAGACCGTTTAAATTAATTGGAGGTTAATTAGGAGAAAACTTGAGATTCATCTCAGGGTGAGTACAAAAATGATAATCAATTGCCGTTAACAATTACGGCTTTTATTTCTTGTTTTTCCATGATCTGG